AATTTGGAAGTATGCCCAAAGGGCTATAAAACCAAACTTACCCTTTGACCCAGTAATACCATTACTAGGTCTGTATCCCAAAGAGATAAAAAAACAAAAAAGGAAAAGGAACTATATATATAAAAATATTAAGAGCAGCTCTTTTAGTGGTGGCAAAGAATTGGAAATAGAGGAGATACCCATCAATTGGGAAATCATTGAACAATTATGTCACATGATTGTGATGAAATACTATTGTACTACAAGAAATGATGAGCAGTATGCTCCCAGAAAAACCTGGAAAGACCTATATGAACTGATGCAAAGTGAAATGAATAGAACCAGGAAAACATTGTACACAGTAACAACAATATTGTATGATGAACAACTGTGAATGACAGCTATTCTCACCAATACGCTGATGCAAGACAATTCTGAAGGACCTATGATGAAACAAGCTATCCATCTCCAGAGAAAGAACTGATGGAGTCTGAATGCAGATCGAAGCATACTCTTTTTTACTTTCTTTATTTTTCTTGTTTGTTTGATTTTGGGGGGGGTGGAGCCTGTAGTTTTTTCACAACATGTATAATATGGAAATATGTTTGGGATGATTGTACATATATAACCTATATCAAATTGTTTGCCTTCTCAATGAGGAGTGAGGGTAGGAATGTAGGGAGATAATTTGGAACTCAAAATTTTTAAAAAATGAATGTTGAAAATTTTTACATGTAATTGGAGAAAAATAAAATATTAAACAATTGAAAAAAAGAAATCTTGTGTTTTTAACATATATAGGGGAAACACCCTGTTGGAGGAGAAAATCTTTTAAGGTGGCATTTTGCTTTACTGAATTCCGTTTGTTACTAAAAGCTAACAAATTGCATTCAATTCATCAAATTTTTATTAAGCACATTTTACGTGTAAGATACTGTATTAGCAACTGGGAATTCAAAGATAAGAACATGAAACAATTCCTGCCATAAAGGAATTTATATTCTAACCAGAGGCATCCTTTATTCACTGTACTTTTCAGTCAGTGTGGCTGTAGAGATGTCACCTGCTGTGTAATATTGTATGGGGAAGCTTGCCTGTTTATTTCTCCCATTTTCATCAAGGATTCCCTTGGTATCTATCTATCTATCTATCTATCTATCTATCTATCTATCTATCTATCTATCTATCTGTCTATCTATCTATCTATCTATCTATGTATCTATCTACCTGTCTATCTTACCTATCTTATCTATCTCCATTTATCTATATCTGTTTATCTCTATCATCCATCCATCTTATCTATCTATATCTGTTTATCTCTCTATCTCTGTTTATCTCTCTATCTATCATCTATCTATCTATCTACTATCTTATGTTCATAAAGATTTTCTAGAGGTTGGAAAATAGGCATAAATATCTATAATTATTAATATGCTTGTGATCACCTTTTTTCAGGAACTGGTCCATGATTTTTTTTTCTCTGACAGTTCAGTATTCTCCTTTTCAGTTGGTCAGTAAGAATTTAATAAGCACCTACTATGTGCCAGATACCGTGCTAAGAACCGGGTATACACAGAAAAGCAAAAGACAATTTCTGCTCTCAGGGAACTCACAGTTCAATGTGTGTGGGTAAGGGTTGGGGAACAGCATGTAAACAACAGTACAAACAAGATAGAGAAAAGGTAAATTTGATCCTTTAATGCCCTTAAAATTGTATTGCCTCCAGCATGGCTTGTCTCTATGTATATGCTTGTCTGTTCTATATAGTTTTCCCATTTTTTTAAAGTATCTTTTCTATTTCTTCATGCAGCATGTCAGGGATATTATACTCTAATACGTTATTATACTGTAATAATAGTCTATGATATTATACTCCAAATATGGTGGCTTACATTGTTATTAGTGGTGAAAAGAGTTTGTTAAAGAAACTGTGACCATTTTAGGAAGAGGGGAGGGAATGGAGGAAGGGAGAAAAATTTGGAACTCAAAGTCTTGTAAAAATGAATGCTAAAAATTATCCTTATAGGTAATTGGAAAAATACTATTGAAAACATTTTTTTCTGAAAAAAAAAAAAAAGAAATGGTGACAGATCTTTAACATTTTTTTTATTGTTACTGTTCTGCTAGTTTCATCCTAAATGTTCTTGGAATGATTTGGCTTAATTAGATCTCAAGTCAAGCTTTTTAAAAACTTGTCTTCTCTCTACCACTCTTTGCGGTTTTATGAGATCATGATGCTCATAATCTTCCTCCATCTGTAAGAATCTTCTGTAAGATTGTACACAGAGATTTATATTCAAAATCCATTATGTCTTTGGCTGCTGTAACTAAGAAATTAAGGTTTTCTGGTTTAAGTGATTTCTAAAATCTTTAGGTGACTTTGTGAAGATTAATTAAAATATGTTCTCCTTCCTTAGTTAATGGTGATGGTGTGGAAATCTGTTCTTTCATACCCTTCCCTTTCTTTTTGGTTGGTGTCATCACTTTGTTTATATAAGTCCATTTGGAGTTTCCTCAAATGTGTGTCATCTCTCTGCATCTGATAGCAATTTGGTTTTGATTTTCGTCCTGACAATTCGATGGTCATACTGTATAACAGAAACTGATTCAGAAAGGTTTTCCACATTGGCAATCTATCATTTGTGGTTTTATTTAGGCCATAAGCCATTTCATTGTGACCTAATTTGGTACTTTCCTTGTTCAGCACCTATGACTTACTCTGTTCTTGAAGAAAGGGTTCATGTGAGGTAACGAACTCGAGATTCAGAATGAAACATTTTGTTTTGATTGACCATGTGTATTTCTTCTAAGAGTTTTATTTGGCTTTTTTTTCTCTGCAAAGAGAAAATAAATACTTGTTAATTGAAAAAAATTTAAAGAAAGTTTTGATATCTATAGGTTTTAGGTTTATTGGTTGATTTACCAGCTTTTGACCTCTTTCATTTCTTATTTCTAAACCATTTTCCGTTTTTCTTTCTGTTTTCCCCAATGCCCTCCTTTCATCAAAATTGTTGGGTATTAAAATACGTTGATTGCAATTTCAAGTGCATATCTATTATCTTATAGAATTTCTCTGTGTCTCCTTAGCCTCTGCAGCATGTTTGTTGAATATTGACTACAAATATTTTTGTGGTAGTCCTTTAAGAAAAAGAAATACATACTATTTCAAAGGATCAATGGAAAGACCATTGAATTCATGGTCAGAGGAGCTTGGTTCTAGTCCTGGCTCTGCTATTTACTACGTGCGTAACCTAATGCATATCTCTTCACCTTTCCAGTCATCATTATGAATTAACACGAATAAAAAAGATAACAGCAAAGTCATTGACACTTTCCCTCCTTTATCAAATTGCTTCTAATAGGGCAGGGATTCCTTTGGTTTACATAGGGTCCTGGGCTTGGAGTTTGGACAACTTGGGCTCTGATGCTGTCTGGACAAGTTACTTACTGTCCTAAGCCCTGTTCTCCTCATCTGTAAAATGAGAATAATAAATTACGAAGTATTATGTAAATGCTATTATCATCCTCTTGTAGTATATCATGTAATATTATATATCATTATCACATCGTTGTCATAACATTATCATCATAGATATCATCATTATTATTTCCTGATTGTTTTTTACCCTTCCCCCTTTCCTCTTGTTTTAAAGAAAATCAGGTGACTCTACTAGGATTTGGAATAATGAGTTGCCATCCTCACAAGAAAAGCAGGATTACAGTTCTCCCAGGTAACTGGGGACCCAGGAAAGAAAGTAGCTCCATTTAGAGATCACTTAGCCCACCGGTCACCCATTTATTCAATAAATGAACATTTCCTAGTCTATTGTTTATTATTATTATGCACAGTGAATGTTCTCTGCTTAGTACTGGAGCATCCCCAGAAGAATTAAAAAAACCCAAAAATAACTCTGCCAAACTTTAAAGGCTTTTGCAGATTTGTATGTGTAAGAAAGATGGACACACAGAAACATCACTCACACACATACAGATAACTGCAGGTGACACCATCCCCAGTTTATCATTGAGCTATGTTTACTTGTATGGTTGTTTACCAAGGTGGCAAAACATACAACAAAGGGCACTCAATGGATGATGTTTTGGGGGAGAGGAAGGTGCCCCAAATGGTCCATTTTTTAAAAAAATGGCATATCTTAAGAGATAGAGGGACAGTGTTGTATGGTAGAAAAGGTCCTAGATTATTATCACTGCTACTACTTTTGCTGTTGCTGATAGTCCTGTGGGTTAGTGGCCAGAGAGCTGGCCTGGGAGTCACGAAGACCTGCACTGACAACGTAACCTTGGTTGGGCAAGCCACTTACCTCTTGGTGTCCCAGGCAAGCCTCTTTAGCTAGAAGGGGCAGAGAAGATGCTGACCTTCATTTGTTGAGGATGTTTCCTTCCAGGGATTTCCTGATACTAATGAAACCACAAATCTAGTCCCTATCTCTGTTGCTGGATGCCAGTTTTAACTTTTCAAAGCATTTTCCCATCTATGATCTCATTGAATCTTTACAACTATGTAAAGTACATAGGGTATCATTATTTTAGTTAAAAGAAAAAAAAAATTTGAGACTGGGTGTGCCCATTTCTTCTAGGCCCTGAAATACAGCGGCCATTCACAGGCCCAGTCTCATTGGTGATGGGCCTTTGCTCTTCCTTAGGCAGCATGGTGACTCCCTATTGTTGGTGTGCAACCTAGTATGGTTATCTAATTGACTTAGCCCAGAACCCTAGAACTCAAGTGATTCACCAGCCTCAGCCTACCCAGTAGCAAGGAGTAAAGACATGTGCCACTATTCCTGATCAATTTTATGGAAGATAATTGAGCCCTTTTGGGGGATGGCCCCACAGCAATTTTCTGTTGGAGTAGAATCTTGTTCTTGGGTTCCTAGTCCAAAGTCCTGCCATGTGGGAGGGTAGCTTCTTGTTGGGTTACGGGAGTTGGAACCAGGTTAGGAACCAATTTGGCCAGAATCCCAGACCTTGACCCTCTCACCTTGGTCCTTCCAGGGACACGGATGTTCTCGCTGCCTCTGCAGGGCAATTTTTTTGATCCTAGTATACTGAAATTGAGCAAAATAAAGAAGATGAGGTGGAGGATAACCCAGCAATATGACCGACATCCCTTCATCACTCTCCTACAGGGCATATATAGCTGTCGCTGGAAACGCTACCAGTGGTTTGAGCTAGAGAATGGTATTAATTGCTGTTTGCCGGTAAGGGCTGGTGTAGGAAGCACCTGTCCTCAGGTTCAAGGGCCTCCCACCCCCCATTTCTCCTGGGGGCAGCTTTGGGGGGGTGGTGATCAAAAGGATAAAAAATGGGGTATTTGGAGCCCGAAATCCTCACCTGCCACCCCTGAGCAAGGACGAACAGAAAACATCTGTCTCACCGTGGATCACAGGACTTCATAGTTGGAAGGGGCCTCAGCTACCATCTAATCCTATCCCTTACCCAAAGAAACACTCTCCACCATCATGTCTCTGACAAATGGACATCAAACCTGATCCCAAAGACCTCTAAGGAGGTCTACAATATCCCGAGGCCTTACTTTCTGGTTAGGCCTAATTGTTAGTAAATTTTTTTCTTAGATCAAACCTTAATTTGCATGCTTGTGCTTCCTAAGCGCAACCAGAATAAATTAAGTTGTTGTATATGACAGCTTTCAGATCCATGAAGACCTCTATCATGTCCTGTTACTCCTTCTCTTCTCCAGAATAAACATCCTGGTTCTTCCAACTAATTCTCATAAAGATGAATTCAGGAATTTTCACCGTTTTGATTTTTTAGCTCATTAATGTCCTTCCTGAAGGACATCTCTTCTTGCCCTCTTTATATTGGGTCGTCTTTCTTTTTTCTTTTTATCCCCTCTTCTTGGAAGGAAGTATTTATGAATTACCTATGACATACCGGGCACTGTGCTAAGCACTTTTTAACTATTGATCTCATTTGATCCTCCCAACAATCTTGGGAGGTAGGTGCTCAAATTATCCTCATTTTACAGATGAGGCAAACAGGTTGAGTGACTTGTCTAGCATCACATATCTAGGAAGTGACTGAGTTTAGATTTGAACTTGAGTCTTCCTGACTCCAGGCCTAGCCCTCCATCCATTGCACCACCTAACTGCCTCTTCCTCTTACCTCTCCATTCCCCTTCTGGTCCTTTGCATTACCTCTCCTTCATCCTTTCACTACAGTCAGAAAGTGAAAATCAGTGAAAAGAACAGAGTTCCTTTTCCCCCCTGTCTCCAGCCCTGAGGACTGGAGCTTCCCAAAAGAGGGAAGAGTCAGTCAGTATTGCCATGCAGCCTATAAGAATGAAAAGACGACGTTGAAGAGTTGTACTCTATACACTCACAGAATATCACAACTGGAAGAGGCTTTAGAGATTATCTAATCATAGTCTCTAATTCTACAGTTGAGGAATCTAAGCAATCTAAGTAACGTTTGCTCTCTGGCTGGGGATAATGGATGCCCAGACGTGGAATGTTTGGAGAACAACAAAAGCCACTTGTCATCAAATGCCAATAAAACAGAGATTTTAGGCATGCTGCCTAAGATCCCCAGTCTTCAGATCCAGGAAGTTTCCTTGCTACAAGTTGGATTGGATGATACCTGAGGTCCTTTCCAACCCCAATATTCTGTGAAAATGAGTGGTGCTGATCAGTCATAGGACTAGTTCACATTTATATTGTGTTTTATAGTTAACAAAACACATCACATACAACATCATCTCATTGGAGCCTCACAATAGGGTAGCCCATTTTATAGATGAGAAAATTAAGGCTTAGAGAAAGGCCGACAAATCTAATGGCCAGAATGAGGGAGATTCCCCTCTTTTCTGCTGTGGTCAGATTACACGTGTAGCAGTATTCAGCTTGGTGATATATTTTAAGAAGAATATTGACAGGCAGAATAGGGGATCAGAGACTGTGCAATATCAGTACCAGCTGGATGAATTATAAATGGTTAGCTTGGGCAATAGAAGACTTGGGAGTAGGGTACATCACTGGTTTTTCCTCAAGTGTCTGTGTTGTGGCAGAGAGATCAGACCTAGTGTCATAATCTCATAGTTTGAGAGCTAGAAGGGACTGAAGAGGCCACCACCTTTATTTTACGGATGAAGAAGCTAAGGCTTTGAGAGGATTTTGTACCCAGCATCTCACAGCTGGCAGGTGTCTGAAGTGGGACTTGGACACAGTCAGGTCTGACTTCAAGTCTAGCTCCCCATACCCTACACCAGGCACCAGTCCTAACCTTTTTTGTGTCACGGACCTTCTTAGAATGTTTGTTGCCTCTGTTTATGATGGAAGGAAATAGTACATTTCAGTTAGAAGTTAGTGAAAATAAAGATTTATTTTTTTCCCATCCAAGATCATGGACCCCTGGAAAGCTATCCAAGGACCCTAGGTTATGAATCCTTACCCTATTTCATGCTTGGCCCTTGAGGGTGATGTGGGGGGGGGAGAGAGAGAGAGAGAGAGAGAGAGAGAGAGAGAGAGAATGAATTACAGGGTGAAGCTTTCATAGCATAAGAGAGAACTTTGTAACAGTTATCCTGAAATGGAATAAGCTGCCTGAGTAAGGAAGGGACTATTTCTCACCTTCCTTTTTATTTCCAGCACTTAGCACAGATCCTGGTACATAATAGGTGCATAATAAGTATTGCTCGACTTGACTTGACCAAAAGTGCCTCTCCTAATTCTAGGGGAGCCTATTTTAACATCCTTAGGAAAAGATCATTCCCATTCACTCAGCATCAGACTGTACAAGTCTTTCCAGGTTTTTCTGAAGTCAGCCTGTTCATCATTTCTTTTAGCACAATAGTATTCCATTACATTCATATATCACAACTTGTTCAGCCATTCCCCAATTGATGGGCATCCTCTCAATTTCCAATTCTTTGCCACCACAAAAAGAGCTGCTATAAATATTTTTGTACATGTGGGTCCTTTTCCCATTTGTATGATCTCTTTGAGATATAGCCCTACAAGTGCTATTGCTGGGTCAGAGGGTATGCACATTTTTATAGCCCTTCGGACATAGTTGCAAATTGCTCTCCAAAATAGTTGTATCATTTCACAACTCCACCAACAAAGCATTAGTGTTCCAATTTTCCCACATCTTCTCAAACATTTATCATTTTCCTGTTTTGTCATGTTGGCCAGTCTGATAGGTGTGACGTGGTACCTCAGAGTTGTTTTGATTTGCATTTCTCTAATCAATAGTGATTTAAAGCATTTTTTCATACGACTATAGATGGCTTTAATTTCTTCATCTGAGAACTGCCTGTTCATATCCTTTGACCATTTATCAATTGGGGAATGACTTGTATTCTTATAAATTTGACTTAATTCTCTATATATTTTAAAAATGAGGCCCTTATCAGAGAGACTGGTTGTAAAAATTCTTTTCCCAGTTTTCTACTTTCCTTCTAATCTTGGTTGCATTGGCTTTGTTTGTGCAAAAACTTTTCAACTTAATGTAATCAAAGTTATCCATTTTGCTTTTCATAATATTCTCTATGTCCTGTTTGATCATGAATTCTTCTCTTCTCCATAGATCTGATAGGTAAACTATTCCTTGCTCTCCCAGTTTACTTACAGTATCAGCCTTTATATCTAAATCATGAAGCCATTTAGACTTTATTTTGTAATATGGTGTGAGATTTTGATCTATGCCTAGTTTCTGCCAGTTTTCCCAGCAGTTTTGGTCAAAGAGTGAGCTCTTATCCTAGAAGCTGGGGTCTTTGGATTTATCAAATAGTAGATTACTATAGTCATTGACTACTGTTTTACAACACTTCTGTGAGGTGGACAGGGTTGGTATTCATATTCTTCATCTTACAACTTGGGAAATTGAGGCCATAGGAAGTTGGATACCCTTCCCTCAACCAGAATTAGTGGCAGAGCCTGTTCTAAGGAACCCAGGTCACCCTGGGTCCTGGCCAGACCACATGTTGGGGTATGGCATTTTGTTCTGAGTATCATGTTTTAGGAAGGACATTCAGCCTAAAGCATGGGTTCTTACCTATTTTTCTGCCATGGGCCCCTGTGATGGTGGTCAGTCTGGTGAAGCCTATGGGCCCCTTTTCAGCATCATGTTTTTAGATGCACAAAATAAAAGATGCCAGATTACAAAGGAAACCAATTATATTGTAAAAGACCTATTAGAATATATATTTTTTAAGAAGCAGGTTCACAAATCCTAGGTTAAAAAGCCATGGATGGGAGTGTGTCTAAAGGAAGACCCCTAGGATAATGATGAGAAGGCTGGAAACCTTTGAAACTCCTTCTAACTCTTCTGAATTAGATGATTCTCCATTTCCTGGTCCAGTGCTTCCCCACCCCCCCACCCAGGTAGCACACTGTAGTCTTGCTTCCTAATCTGCATTATGAAAGGGTTCCATTAGCAGGCTCCTGACATAACACTCGCTCCTGGTTGAGTCATTTGGGTCTGCTTTTTGGGTATATGTGTGTTGTCTTTTCCTTTTAAGGAAATCAGTTATCTTTCCCCTAAAACAACTCTGCTTCAAAATAGAATCTATTCCTGACACTCTCCCCCTTTCCCAACCAGGAATCCTAGAGACAGTTGTTTGCCTCAGTTGCTAGAGTGTTGAACCTAGAGTCAGAAGACCAAACTTCAAATCTATCCTCAGATATTTACTAGCTGTGTGACCCTGGGCAATTTGCTTAACTTCTGTCTCTCTCAGTTTCTTCAACTGGAAAATGGGGATAAATAATAACACTAACTTCCCAAGGGTGGTTGCAATGATCAAATGAGATACTTGTAAAGTGCTTAGCTCAGTGCCCGACACACAGTAGGCACTTAATAAATGCTGGTTCCCTTCCTTTCAAGGGACTGAATAACATTAGGAAGTATTTTGAGAGACAATGAAGAGAGCACTAGGCCTGGGGGGTCAGAACACCTGGATGCTAGTCCTAGGCCTCGTATTTATTAGCTATGTGGATTCCACAGCCACCTAACATTCTTGAGCTTCAGCTGGTTCATTTAGGGTTAAGGGGGTGATACACAAAGGGGGTTAGTGAGGGATGGTTGAAAGAAAGCTAGATTTGGAGGGCCTGAACTTGAGGACGCAAGTTCAAGTACCAGATCTATCACTTACTAGTATGGGGCCTTTGGAAAAAAAATCACCTTACTTTGCTGGGCCTCAGTTTACTCATTTGTAAAATGAGTGGTTGGACTCAGTGACCCCCTGAGGTCCCTTCTAGCTCCCAATCTGTGATCTTGCGATCTGTAAAACAAGGGGTTTGTACTAGATGATTGCTCACATGCCTTTTAGATCTATGTTTAAGGGTGTTTCTTGAGCTAAATTCCATGGTCTCTTCACTAATTTTCTGTTTTGAGGACCCTTGCAGCTCTGAACTTCCATCATTTTGTGAACACAAACCCAATTTAATAATAGTCTGAGCCGAACATTAAAAAAGGAAGTCTATAGCTGATTTGCCCCCTCCTCGACACACACACACACACACACACACACACACACACACTCACATCATGGGATTACTTCCTGTTTGGCATTTATTCATACCATTGTACCTCTGCAGAAAATTCATTTGCCTCTCTGAAAGGATGTGCTAAGATTTCTTTAGGGCTGCTTGAATCAGAGATAAACCAGGCTAATTTTCTTTTCTTTCCCAGGGAGATCAGATATTTTTCCCCTTCCTGGTTGCGACATTATGCTTGTCATTCGTGTTTCTGTACATGTGGCTGGAAGCCAAGAACGACTACGCCACCTTTGACGAGTGAGTTTCCCTTGTCTGATGTTGTCGGTGTCACTTAGCCTTGCTACAACGTCCTTTCTCCAGAGCGCTCTGGGGCGTACCGGGAGAAGTCGGGAGATGCCAGCGGCCTGGGCTTTGAGCTAGCCTGGCTCTGCCCCTCGCTCTGTTCCCTTAAACAAGTCCCTTTTTTTCTCTATGGGCCTTGGTTTCTTCCTCTGGAAAATAAGAGGGACGTCTGACTGGATGCTCTCTGAGGTCCCTCAAAGCTGTGGAACTTCTGAGATCCTTCAGGGGCTCAGCCTGCGTCCATCACTCCTGTATTGGTCCGGGCACAGGGTAGGATGCTGAGTTACAGGAGTGGCGGATTGGGAGCTGCGGACATCCTATAGTGGTCTGGCTTCCTGTCCCTTCCATCTCCGGATGGAGTAGACCGGCTGCATTGCTTTCTTTGTCTCCAATTTCAGGGCTGTTTGTCTCAGATGATGACAGATGTCCAGTATTGAGTTCTTTAGGTGAGTTCCCCATGTCTGTTTGGTAGAATTTTGCCAAGCATTGGGCCACACACACACACACACACACACACACACACACACACACACACACAGAGTAGGTCCTCACTAGATGGTGTTTAAAGGGATTGCTATTCTCAAATCACCTAACAGGGGTGGGGAACCTGCAGCCTAGAGGCCATCTGTGACCCTCTAGGTCCTCAAGTGCAGCCCTTTGACTAAATTCAAACTTCACAGAACAAATCCCCTTAATAAAAGAATTTGTTCATAAAACTTGGACTCAGGGACCTAGAAGGCCACAGGTTCCCCACCCCTGCTAGAATCTTTGACCTGGATCTCTCTTCTCTCTTTGTAGATGCCATCTCTGCACCATGTTCCCGATTTCTCTCTTCCTCCATGCCTCCTGTCACTGCCCTGGCAAAGGAGGTACAGATGAGCAGCTGCCTGGCCTGTGGCCATGGCCTTCTTATGGGGCATCCCACTCCCCTGTTCTCCCTTTTCCAGGTCTTCATGTTGCTTTCCATCTAGCTGTGTGACCCTGAGCAACCCCTATAACTTCTTTCTGCCTCAGTGTCCTCATCTAAAATGGGAATAATGACAGCCCCTGCCTCCTTGGGCTGTGGGAGAGTGAAATGAGATCATTTGTGTAAAGGGCTATGAAGATCTGGCCTGCTGTCTTAATGCCAGAATTCTCTTTATTGTCTTCAGGGTTACTAGTCTATATTTCCTCGTGTGTTGATCTCCTCACTTCACACCCCTGCTCAAGAGCTTCAGCCGCTCCCTCTTACTGATGGGAATGAGCATTTGTATGTCATTGTTGTTGCTGAGACGTTTCAATCATGTCTGATTCTTTGTGACCCCATTTGTGGTTTTCTTGGCAAAGATACTGGAGTGGTTTGTCATTTCCTTCTCCAACTCCTTTTACAGATGAGGAAACTGAGGCAAACAGGGTTAAGTGACTTGACCAAGGTCACACAGCTGGTAAATGTCTGAGGCCAGATTTGAACTTGGGTCCTCCTGACTCCAGGCCTTGAGGCACTATCCACTGCACCACCTAGCTGCCCAGCATTTATATAGTGCTTACTATGTGCTGGGCACTGTGTTTAGTGTTGTTACAAATATCATTTCATTTGGTCTTCCCAACAATACTGTAGGTATTATAATATTATATTATTATAATATGTAGGTACTATTATTGTCTTCATTTTAGAGATAAGGAAACTGAGGCAGACTTATCCAAGACCACACATCTAGGAAGCCTCTGAGACTGGTTTTGGACTTGAGTCTTCCTGGCCCCAGGTTTAGTTCTCTACCTAATGCACTGCCGAGCTGCTTCTATGTGCCACCTGTTACTTACTGGATAAAGACCAGGCACCTTTGTCTAGCATTCAAGACCTGTCCCACATGCTATGTATTTGCCAACTTGGACTGTGTTTCCCCTTGGCCAAGCCTTGTACCTTCCTACCTCGTGCCTTTGGTCAAGCTGATCCCTCTTTGCAAAATACTCAGGGTCATTGATTGTAGATTGAGAGCTGGAAGGGACGTTTCAGGCCAATCTTCTCATTTTACAAATGAGGAAACTTAGGCCCAGAGAGAGTAAAGGACTTGGCCCAAGGTCATCCAGGCTGTAATGAAGAGTGAGAGCTAGGATTTGAATTCAGGACTTCGAACTTTAAAAGGCTGTGATGTTTCCACTGTACAACATGGGGTGTGTGTGTGTGTGTGTGTGTGTGTGTGTGTGTGTGTGTGATTTTTATTGAAGAGGGAATTGCTATTTAGGTATATGTTGTATAATAAATGACCTCTCAACTCCCCTGCAATTTTGAGAGTGATTCTGCTCAACACCTACTATGTACCTGGAGCCCTAAGCTCAACACTCTGGGGGATACTAAAGTCACATGGCTTTTCTTTGGCCTCTTTTCCCTTCACCCAGCCACATATTTACCTTTTGAAAACTGACACATCCTTCAACATCCACCTTAAATAATGTCACACACAGAGCCCCTCCCCAAGAAACTTTTCCTGATTCCTCCTAATTGAAAAGGATCTTTTTAGCTAGGTCGCACAGTTGATAGACTTGAGTCAGGGATGAGACTTGAGTCAGGAAGACACGAGTTCAAATCCAGCCTCAGATATTTAACTAGCTGGGTGACCCTGGGTAAGTCACTTAACTTCTGAGTGTCTTAGTTCTCTCATCTATAAAAATGGAGATAATAATAGTCCCTCCCTCCCAGGGTTGTTGTGAGATTGAATGAGATAATATTGATAAAGCACTTAGTCTAGTGCCCTGACACCTAGCAGGTGCCATATAAATATTATTATTAAGTGTTAGCTATTATTGAAGAACTTTTTGGATCTTTTTATTCAATTTTGCTGTGTAGGTTTTGGGTTTTTGGGTTGGAGCTATGATATCCTTGGTATAGGGAATTCCCCAGTGAGGGACTTCTTTTTACCAGTGACAATAGCATCTTCTCCATGCAGCATCTAGCTCGAGAGAATTGCCTGGGAGTTACTGACAGGTTAATTGGGTTGTCAAGGGTCCTACCTTCAGCATGTGTTGTATGTACTTTGTAGTTCAATGAGGCTGGTCTCCTTTCTATTCTCCTAATAGAACACTCCATCGCCTATCTGAGCATCTCCACTGGCTTTCTCCCTTGGTGAGAATTCTCTCCTGCCACATTGCTGCCTCCTGGATTCCCTGGCTTCCTTTCTTCAGGTCCTAGCTAAAATCTCACCCTCTGTAAGAAGTCTACCCTGATTCCCCTTAAAGGGGGATCTTCTGAGGTTCTCACTAATTTATCCTATCTATACCCTTTTTTGTACATAGCTGATTGCAAGTTGTCTACCCCATCAGGCTGTGAATTCCTTGAAAGTTTTGGGTCTGCTTTGTTTTGGTAATTTTGGTACACTTTAGTATCCCCAGTGTGTCACAGGGAGCCTGGAACATAGCAGGCACTTAATAAACGCTTTCTGACTGAGTGCCAGGAACTGTCCTTGGGTTCAGACACTTCCACAAGGCAGGGTGAAACTGAACTGCAGTGGGAAGGGTATGGCTATAGCAGCTGCAGTAATTCATATATCTACATATACACATATATGTAGATATATGAATTACTGCAGTAGCTATAGCCACTATATGTGTGTATATGTGTGTGTGTATATATGGGTGAGTGAGTACATGTGTGTATGCACATGCATGCACACATATATGTATATGTGTACATATATATGTGTGTAGTCTCCCATTCACAATTAAAAACACACACACACACATAAAAAAACAATTAAGATAAATCTTATTTTTATTTACAGAAGTCCAGCTTTAGAGTACAATTTAAATCAGTTAAGGAAAAACAACTTAAAAGGACAGAAAACTAGAATGAAACATTTCTATTTGGGGGCAGAAAGGCAGTGGGAAAAGGAGGAAGACAAAAGAGATACTTCACCAAGGGAAAATCTCCCAATAGTTAGACATGCCCCACACTTGGGTTACAGCTCTGCCCTCTGATCTTGGTAGAAACGGACCTACTGCCCTGGTGGAGTCTGAGGTATACTCCACATCACTTCCTTCCCAGCATGAAAATATATATGTGTATGTGTACATGTGTGTATACACACATACATATATATGTGTGTGTGCTATATATAGGTATATATGTATGTATATATCTTAATTGTAGTCGTAAGCCAATTGAGAAAAGAATTTTGTGGTTTATCAATTTTGGATAAATGTTCCAAAAGTCAGAACTAAACCAAATCCAGAGTTTTCCCTTTCCCTAGTCCAAAAAGAAAGCACAGCATGATTTTGCTGGCTGGGACAAGATTGGGCTGTTAGTCATGTTGCCTCACTTGCTTTTTCCCTCATCCCCCTCCTTCTCCCATCTCGGTGTAGGAAGGATTTGAGGATAATGGCTAGGGAGTAGGAATTGCCTTGTGAGAAGAGAAAAGGTATGACTGAATCTGCCCAGTAATACCCACATTCCAAAGGTGTGAGGGCCAAAAGAAGGTGTAGTTACTTCCAAGCCTATATCTGAACAGGAGCAGAAAGCTTCATAACACTAGTCCTTAAGTGTTGCAGCCCAAAAGAGGCCTTAGTCACTGTGTGCTTCCCTAGATCCTACCTTTGCTTCCT